CATTGAAGAAGTATTGAAGCTTTGCGGGATTGTCAACGCAAATATGTCTGACGAAGACAAAGTCGGTCATTTGTTAAAAGGCATCGCCGAGGACGTGTACAATTTTTAATAACAAAAGAAAACTTTAACACTCCTTCGATTTTCAGGCAGCAGTGTCGCGCATTCGAGGCGTTGAAAACCCGAAGAATTCTACCCAAGTTCGGGCGCTTGGACAATGTTCCCACTGTCGCAGGTATGGACGTCGCCACCTGCGAAGACATTCCCTTGCTCGTACGTCGGGTAGTTCGAGAAGAGCTCGTACGACTTCAAGCAGGTGACGTTCACCACCAATGCTCGTTCGCCGCCTGTCCCGAACCACCTCCCTACTGGATGCGAGAGCGCCACGTCGAAAACCGACCACGCACAGAAACTGCAGATTTTACCCCGCGGCTTCCGTTTTCCCCGACGGGTCGTGGCCACCACCGGATGTCATCATCTCGACGTGCCGCTGCGGGCCTCCGACCGTTGTCAACCAGGCCTCTACTAGAAGATTACTATGCGTCATCACAAAATGTTCCTGTGGAGCACGACCCGTCTCCGCGTACTTCTGCCACCTCTGCTCCTGCTAATGTAAGCCGACAAGTCCCCGTTTGCTGCACATGTGGTCTCCCAGGGCATATTTCGCGCTTCTGTCCCAGACGGCCGCCTGCACCGCCACGTTTTTCGACGTATCCGGCTCGTATGTACGAAACGCCTGTGCCGCCACGTTTTTCGACGCACCCGCCTCGTATGCACGAAACCTGGACCTCACACCCGGCCAACCACCGTCCCCGACAGCAATGGCCTAATGAATTTCGCAGCGAGTCCCCCGCCTCCGAGCGAAGCCTGACGCAGCCTCCGACACGGTCCCGCCGGTCGCCGTCTCCACGTCGTCGGTCACCTTCCCCGCATCAGCTGGGAAACTAACTGGTGCGAACGATAGAGGTGCGGTCGCGGGACGGTCAGTTTCGCCAATTCCTCCTTCTGCTGTGATGTTGATGAACAAAGTGCGTGTGTGTATAGACGGTGTAGATACTCTTGCTCTTGTAGACACTGGTGCTGCTGTTTCGGTTATGAGCCTTCGTTTCAAACATCGTTTCTTGGGTCACAAAGTTATGTTCGCGTGGAATCGTAAAGAAAGTTTTCGTGAAGTTGGAGGCGAAGCGTTATGCCCTGTTGGTATTTGTTCAGTTGTACTCACGATTGGTGGACTAAATTTCCGAGCTGAATGCACTGTACTGGCTCGCGCAACTCATGACGTCATTTTAGGGATAGACCTCCTTCATGAATGCGGCGCTACGCTTGACTGTGGAACTAGAGAGATTCTTCTACAAAGTATGTTCTCCGCTGCAATAGTTGACGATTTTTCGACTCTGCCCATCGATGCGCTTTCGTTGTCTGAAGATGTGACGATCCCTGGTCGGACAGCAGTGTTTGTACCCGTGTGCTCTTCTCATGTTTGCTCAGGACTCTGCACTGGACTTGTGGAGCCTGATCATGCAAACGCCATCAAGAAGAATGTGCTGGTCCCACAGTCTGTCCTTACAGCCATCGACGGACATGCTTGCTTGTGGGCGCTCAACGCAGCCTCAGAGCCTGTTGTTCTACCAGCTGGATTCAAACTGGGAAGGTACGAGGAGCAGGCCACAATTGACTTCAGAATGGTCTCAGAGTCTCGAGCCATCAGTCAGACTGCGCCCAACTACTCAGCCGAGATTAATCGTATGATCAATAAGTCGTTGCCTTCTTCCGAGCAGAATGTCCTCGAGGAGGTGCTTACACGCTACGCAGGAGTCTTTGATTTCGCTCAAAACAAGCATTAAGCATTGTTCCATGTTGCCCAAATCCCATATGCACCACCGCATCGACACGGGAGATGCTACACCGCGATTACACCATAAACCCTATTGCGTATCCCCGTCAGAGAGGCAAGTGACTGCCGATCAGGTCAACGACATGCTGCACTGCAGAAAGGCGTTATTCAAGAGTCAAGCAGTCCCTGGGCAGCTCCAGTTATATTGGTAAAAAAGTAAGACAACTCTTGGCGATTTTGTGTACACTACCGCCGTCTCAACGCCGTCACAAAGAAAGACGTTTATCCGCTACCACGCATCGACGATGCTGTTGATTGTCTGCACTCGGCCGCATACTTTTCGTCCGTCGACCTAAGGTCTGGATACTGGCAAATACCAATGCATCTGTCTGACAAAGAGAAGACTGCTTTTGTCACGCCTGATGGGTTATTTGAGTTCAACGTTATGTCGTTTGGCTTATGCAATGCCCCAGCTACCTTCGAGCGATTCATGGACTCCATCCTTCGCGGCCTCAAATGGGAGATATGTATGTGTTATCTCGATGATGTAATTATTTTGGCAAGACATTCCACGAGCACAACCATCGGCTTAGCGTTGTTTTAGATTGCGTCAAACAAGCTGGTATCGTTTTAAACTCAAAGAAGTGTCATTTTGGTGAGCGTCAAGCCCTTGTGCTTGGATATCTAGTCGACAGGGACGGTATACGACCAGACCCGCACAAAATCAGTGCTGTCCGAGACTTCAAGCAACCGCCGTCTGTGAAGGATCTCCGTAGCTTCGTGGGCCTGTGTTCTTATTTTCGTCGGTTTATCAAAGACTTCGCCCAGCTGGCTCATCCCCTGACAGAGTTGCTCCGCAAAAACGCCCCGTTCCGATGGACCGTTGAGTGTGAGGCTGCTTTCGAGCAGCTGAAGTATTTGCTCACTTCCGGGCCCCTCTTGCGCCATTTCGACCCGGAGGCACTCACGGAACTGCATACAGATGCTAGTGGTATCGGTGTTGGTGCCGTGCTAGTTCAATATCACGACAGCCGCCAGCACGTCGTGGCGTATGCAAGTCGTACTTTGACTAAGGCGGAGAGGAATTATACGGTCACCGAACTGGAATGCCTTGCAGTTGTTTTCGCCGTCCAAAAGTTCAGACCTTATTTGTACGGCCGGCAGTTCAAGATCGTCACAGATCATCATTCGCTTTGTTGGCTTGTCGGACTACGTGACCCAGCTGGTCGGTTGGCTCGCTGGGCCTTACGGCTTCAAGAATATAATTATTCTGTGACCTACAAGAGCGGTCGATGTCACGCAGATGCCGACTGCTTATCTCGTCTTCCATCTCCGACTGCGGATGCTGATGATGATGATTTCGACAACTACCTGGCCGCAATCTCATCCAACTTCCCAAATTTGGACGTCTTCCGTCACGAGCAACAGCGTGACCCTTCGCTGAAACCAATGATTGATGTGGCTCGTAGCTCTAAACGCACCACGCCGTTCGTGATTCATGACGCCCTACTATATCGCAAGAATTACTCCAGCCATGGTTCCACACTACTCCTCGTCGTGCCAGAATGCCTGCGTCTTGCGGTATTCCAAGCCATGCACGATGACATCACGTCTGGGCACCTTGGATTTGCCCGAACGCTTCACCGTATCCGACAACGTTTTTACTGGCCTCGACTCTGGAAGACCACCAAGCACTACGTCGCAAGTTGTGATGTCTGCCAACGCCACAAACAACCTACCACACCATTAGCCGGCCCACTGCAGCCGGTTAAGCCACCGACATCACCATTCGAAAAAGTCGGCATAAATTTACTGGGCCCTTTCCCCAAGTCTACCACCGGCCGCCGCTGGATTATTGTGTGCGTAGATTACCTGACGCGGTATACTGAAACGATGGCGGTTGCTTCATCCACATCATCTGATGTGTGATGGTTTCTTCTACACTCGGTCATACTTCGTCACGGGGCCCCTCATGTGGTGATAAGTGATCGCGGCCGGCAGTTTACCGCTGACGTTGTCGAAGAGTTGCTACGGCTTTGTGGGTGTCAGTATCGCCATTCCACGCCATACCACCCTCAGACTAACAGCCTCACTGAGCGCACCAATCGTACCATCATCAACATGCTTTCAATGTACGTCGCAGCGGATCACAAGAACTGAGATGCCGTATTACCTTTTGTTACATACGCCTTTAATACCGCGAAACACGAAGTCACGGGTTATACGCCTTTCTTTCTTCTCTATGCTCGTCATCCCCAAAGTTTCCTTGACACCATACTTCCTTTTTCGACGAACGAAAACGCCAGTGTCGCGCAGACTTTGTGTCGCGCCGAAGAAGCTCGTCGACTTGCTCGGTTCCGAACTCTTTCCGCCCACGCTCGCGCGAAAGACCGTTACGACGCAAAACACCCGCCCGTGACTTTCGCTACAGTTGATTTGGTCTGGCTGTGGACGCCCATTCAAAAGAAGGGACTTTGCCAGAAGTTTCTTTCTAAGTACTCAGGACCATTCGTCATTACTCAGTGCCTAAGTGACATCACTTACGCTGCTGCGAAAGTGACAGCTCAGAACCGGCGTTCGCACAAGATGCAAATTGTGCACATTGCCCGATTGAAGCCCTACAACAACCGATCGTTTCTACTCGCTCGGTGAGCTTCGTCTGGCCCGGAGGGAAATGTAACGCGGACTGAAAGAGCGAGGAAGAAGAAGAGATCGGACGCTCTCGAGGGATGGTGATTCGGCAGTGACGGTAGAGCGCCGACATTTTTTCAGTGTAAATAAACCCATCACATCCGTAACAATATATATATATATATATATATATATATATATATATATATATATATATATATATATATATATATATATATATATCCGCATTGTCTAAACAAATAATAAAGCACCCTGTACAGCAACGCTTTCAGTAATATAGGCAAGTAGCCCTGATAAGTCTTAATCGCCTTCCCACCGAGACGCTTCGAGCATATTGTGATGTCGTTTGACGTCAGCTTCATATCAGCGCTAAAGAAAGACTGGAACACGAGAGCTCTTGTCCTGTCGTCTCTCATGTGTTGGCCTTTTTAGTGACGAAAACCAGATGTCGTCAGGCATTGACTAACTCACCCACCGACAAGTTCTTATTGCGATGTTCGCACTCCATACCGAGAGGAGAGGACACGCACGCCCTCTGAAACTTAACAAGACGCAAGCAGCGAACACAAAACAACGCAACCACAGTGAAAAAAAGTGCGCTTACGTTGCACAAGGCAAATGCTCATTTAAATATAAACGTACTGTAGCGCAGCACGTCGCAGCGTAGCTGTGTCCACCAGCCTTGATTCTGTAGTCCTAGACAATATGTGTGGTGTCCATACGTATGTAAGGCTTACTATCATGTTATTGATTCGCTAACTAATTTAGAATTCTGGTAGAGCAAGTTTTGACGCAACCTATATAACCTCCTAAGGCGGTGGTGGTCGTTTCCAAGAGCAGTTGTTTCATGCACTGTGCGCCCCGCTGTCTGACATGCACAGCTGCTGCCCGAGTCAGACTTTCTCCGGAAGAAGCGAGGACACCCCAAGGAGACCGGGCAAACACCAGTGGCGAGTGGGTCACACCTGTAACGCGTGCGAAATTTGTTTATATTTAATGGCACACGAAATCAGTGTGTCGAACACAAGTATATGCACAGACAAGCAATAGTTAAGTGCGTAAGACAGCTCTGGCGTTTGCCTCAAAATGGTTCTGAAAGCGGTTGTGAAAGTGTCCAACATTGTCTTTTGGAGGGACGTTATTTTTTTCATCACATACGACAAATTCTTTAATGCTAGGTATTAAACGTTCCACGCTCATTGTGTCACATGCTGTACTCTTTGTGGAATATATCGCTTCCTGCCTACACAGTGCTTTCCCATAAAGAGCCAGTCAACAGGCTCCGACTTCTTTTTAACACCCCCCAAACAATACACTCTAAAAAAATATCGAGTAAAAAGGGCGTCTTTTTGTCCCACAACAATAATCATCATCAGGCTTGCGTGCGCTTCCTTTCTTGAAAACTCGACGCTGGCCACTTTCCTATCGAGAATGCAATGTAACCCTGATAATGGGCATGTCGATCGTGACCGGAATGTACCGGGCGCCGGGCGATAGCGCAAGGATGGAACGCAATATAGATGACGATTATTGTTGTGGGACAAAAAGACACCCTTTTTACTCGCTCTTTTTTAGAGTGTATCAGTAATTGGTAGAGTACACCGCAGCGATCACGTTTTCTGAATATTACAAAGCTGCGCGCCGCGCAGAGCATCAATTTCGAAAAATAATTCTCGCGCTCCTTTCCTACGCCTGACCAATGCTCCTTGCACGCGCAGTGACGGCAACTCGGCGATCGGCGAAGTGACGCAGCACGCAGCACGTCGACTGGTCTAAACCAGGCCTCAACAAACAGTGAAGTCAGCGACAGTTCCTGTTCCCACCCACAGCTACGACAGAGCTATTCAATCATACGAGTTGCGAAACTCCCCAAAGGGTCCATGCATCGAAATCGGGAAACTTAATTGACCCAGTTTTTTTTCTTTTTTTTTTTTTGAGGGGGGATGAGCAGATTGTCGCACCACCTGTTGATCAGCACACCCACTATTAAGCGCATTATTTATGTTTTGTATTGCTGCTCCCAGATGGCGCAACAGTCTACTTCCAGAAAATTGAAGTCGGCCTAATTTTTATAATTAGGCCGACTTCATGTTTGGGTTTTGGAAAGCAGTTTAGCTGCAAATCGTTGTCGGCTGCAAATCGAGCGACTGGGCTGCGGAGAAGCATCAGCCCCGGGTAAGCAGAAACAACCAGGCATCGCAGCAAGCGGAAGTGCGTTGCGACTGATCGAGTTCGCCAATGACGAAAATCGCTGACGTCTTGTCACGTTGCCGAAGCGGGCGGAGTCACCATGACGGGCCACTCCTTCCCCTTCCTCTGATGAAGAAGGGTGGCGAGGCCGCGCGAAAATTTCAAACCAGATGAACGTGATGTTCTGGCCCCTGTAACTTACGTTATGTAGCACGTATTCGCAAAATTCTTGCGGCAGCATGTTCACGAAGTAAAAGTGCGCATATTTCTTTTCACAACAACATTTGAACCTTGAGGTTGTTTACTGGCCCTTTAACTGCGACCGCGGATGAAGGCTATCGCTTGTTGCCAGGGAGCATGGATTTACCCCCGGTAGGCCAACGGAGAGGCTTAGCAACGGGGGGGGGGGGGGGGGGACACGTAGAGTGACGAGCCACTGACGACACGCAAACGTAGCTCGGGCGATTCTACAGAAAAAAGTTCTCGAACGTTTACAAAGAGCTTAGGCCCGCACCCCGCCGTCGCCGCCGAAAATCCCTGCGCCGGGCCAGCGCGCCGTGCAAAACAAGTACGCGCTCCCAAGGCTGCGGAATCGAATGCAGGTGCGGCGGCAGGTGGCTCGCGCTGCGCTGCGCGCACCAGATACTCACTTCAATCAATCAATCAATCAAGAGAACTTTATTTTTCTATGAAAAGAATAAAGATACAAAGAATATTTGAACCGCATATTTGTCACTAGCATAGTGACCAGTCCAATACAATGTGTATAGAATGTACAGGTCACTTGCTCAGTCACCACCAAGCACAGCAAACGCTCTGCCCACCCACTCCCCACCCTACAGCCTTCACGAGAGCAAGCAGATATATATGAGGCACGTAGCCGTTTGCGCCCAATTTCTAAGAAGCTTCGCTTGTATTCGTACACGGAACAACTGATAGTTCACATGGGTCACGTGACTTGTGTGACCACGTCGGGTTGGCTACAGAAAACAGACATCGGTGGAAACTTAGTTCCATTCAACGGCACGAACAGGCCACGTAATTACACTGTTGTGGTCGACATGACACCAGAGGTCGCATGACACAACACTATAGAAACAGTTAGCTTCGTACAGCCACCCAAGTCTTCAACTATCGTGCGTGAGCGCCGACTTTTCAGTGCATCAACGCCGTGCGACAGAGCCCAGTTGCAAACAGGGCAACGATAAGCGCATGCCCACAAAGCGCGCTCAGCTCGTCCCGTCGTCTGCCAGGCTCTTCCTTCTTAGCAGCGAACTACAGACAACGACTCTTTTACTTCATTTAATGCCAGTGCACGCGCGCTCTTCAAAGGGAGCCGTCGGCCCGCCTTAGTTCAGGGAGTGGTCGTGATGCGACGCTGCATGAGGGGTAGCACTAGAGTTACTGTATATGCTACCTTTAACCCTAAAAGTAGCATATAGAGTAACTCTAGGTAGCACTAAAGTCCCTTAATAGGTAGCGCTGCTTGAGTCACATGTGCTTCCGAGCGCTTTCCCATGGAGATGTGATAGACGTGTGTCTCTCTCCAATATCATAAATCTGTCAGATTTGTTCCTTCATGCTCCTTCTTTATGCATGGCTGGAAGCAATGTCGCCCCCACATCACAGCGCTAGTTATGCAGCAGCGTTGCAGTGACGCTTCTTCATTGGTTGCCCGCATAGCACCACGAACGGCCACATGCTATCTCAAAACGCCGTATCACTTACAGAGCCAGCGTGACCACCAATATTGTGATCACGAGGAATGCAAGACGCCGCCACACGGATCTGTACACAACTGAACGAGAAATATTACTTCCGCTTATTCCCGTCGTAAGGTGCTACATGTTGGGCTCTCTCCCCCATGACGACAAAGCACTCACGAAGGCTAGGCGAAGTGCGAGAGCAGGAAAGGGCTAGCGGAGAGGGTGGTTAAAAGGCTGGATCGGGCGCATCTGGCTGGCATTCATAAAATATAGAGGAGGCGCTGCTGCAGATGAAACACGTTCTGCTGCTTCTCTCATCAGTGCGGGCATGGGCGTATATTGTAATATTTGCTCAATTTGTGATTGATTTGTGGGGTTTAACGTCCCAAAACCACCATATGATTATGAGAGACGCCGTAGTGGAGGGCTCCGGAAATTTCGACCACCTGGGGTTCTTTAACGTGCACCCTTGCTCAATTTGTGGCTGCAGCGTTCTTCGGGAAAGAAAATATGACCGAAACTATTCGCCTGCTCACACTGTCAGGCCCAGCTGAGCACGTTTTGTGGGCATGCGCTTAACCTGGCCTAGCCTGCAGCTCGCTTCGTCGTACGGCGCCGACGCACAGGACAGTCGCCGCTCACGCGCGTTAAATATTTGGGCGGCTGTACATCACGTTCGTTTTGTCAATGGAGTTGCGCTTCCAACGACCGCCGTCGTCCCTAACGCCAAATAATCTTTCTCGTCACCAGGCAACTTTGTCAAACCCACATTCACCATCACCAAAGGGCGAAGAAAAAAAGGAAACGGCCTCCATCGTTAGGACTTGTTCCCATGGGACCGCGCTCATAACCTCCATCTTGTCCCGCTCTACAGAGAAAGCCCATGTAGCTACTAGAGAAAAAAGTAAGCAAAAGAAGCCATTAAATATACCGGCCGGTCTGCTTTTATTGCAGCGGAGCTGTGTGTGGCTAGGCAAAACCAGAATTCGACAGTCATGTGTGCGCAAAGATTACGAGCGCTTCGGTGCCAAATAAATTGGGAAAGCTCCATTTCTAACCACTGGTCCATCAAAAGCGAACGTTAGTGCCACACGAATCGGACAAGTTTCACTACACACTACTGATCCATCGCTCTTCCCTAAAAATCGCTCAACGTCCAACCACGCCAGCCGCTCTTCCCTATACAGACACCCTTCCCTTCTCCACGGGCTTTTAAAAATCAGCTTCAGTCGTATAAGGAGCTCGCTGAGCCCTTTATTTAGGACAAGAGAATTCTCATTTACAAACAAGAGACGGACGGTTGCTGCAGACGAACTCGTACCCAAATGCTTGGTGTGTGAGCCAGATCGACTCGGACTACAACGGATCATTCAATTGTGCAAAGTGTAGTGAACATGTCAAATTTGGTAAACATTATGCGAGAGTGTTAGACGCAAGAGGTGTTCCTGCCTTCTTGTCTGGATTGATTGATATGTGGGGTTTAACGTCCCAAAACTACCATATGATTATGAGAGACGCCGTAGTGTAGGGCACCGGAAATTTCGACCACCTGGGGTTTTTTAACGTGCACCCAAATCTGAGCACACGGGCCTACAACATTTCCGCCGCCATCGAAAATGCAGCTGCCGCAGCCGGGATCCAAACCCGCGACCTGCGGGTCAGCAGCCGAGTACCTTAGCCACTAGACCACCGCGGGGGGGGGGGGGGGAGAGCTTTCTTGTCTGGAGAGCAGGAACAAGTGGAACGACGCTCTTTGGATAATTATAAGACAAACTGTAGGCTATCCAGAAGGCCCGCAAAAAGACGGAGAGGACTCCCCGTTCCGACGTGGGAGCTGCCTTCTATTCCCTTTGACGAACGGTCTAGTGTCCTTTAGGGCCTTTTCCGTAATAAAGTTTTATCACCACCACCATTGACCCACTAAAGACGCAGTGATAAACACCGTGGCCATACGTTCCAGCTTATGCGCTCATTCCTCTTGTGCCCATGTGCGACTGCCAAGAATGATTTCGCGCGCTTACAGGAGTGTGAAGCTATAGCAGTCACTGAGTAACCTCCAGTAATATTCA